GAAGTGGCTTATTATTATAATCTAGAAATAGTAACAAATATCACTATAGGACACAAAGCATATCTTGTTCTTCCACTTGGTTTAAGCAGGACAAAGGCATCAAATGCAATAAGCATGCAGGTAGGCGTGCAAGTGACACATGCAACCATTTTAATTCCTCAGTCACATCAACAATAGACAGGAAAATGAAAGACAAAAAATAATTAAAAAAACTGAAGGAGAACTCAAAAATAGACAAAAGTTGGGTGGCGCACAGAGGAAAGTGTAGTTTAGGAATGAGCATGATAAGACGACAAGTACATTTTTTTCACTTGTAAGTTCTACAACACTTTGTTTTTCCTGAACTGTCCTTGTTCTGATGAATTCAATTTCCAATGAGTTACCCCCACATATCTTCAGAAAAAGAAGAAAAGAAGGTGATTGAACCCAATTGTTCTATGTTATTTCATATCATTTTAAGGGTTTTTATCATAGGTTTTGGCTCCTTTTAATGATAATTGTGCTTAATTTTGATTAAGAGTCCTTACTTTGAGTTAGTGTTTTTTTAGGGTAAAATTGTCATAATTGGTATTAATTGTATTCAATGATTTCTAGGATAATTGATGCTTCAAAATTGTTGCTTTTATTGTAGGACACTTGAGAATTAGAGCCAAGATTGAAGACCAAAGCATTACACAACACGAGAGTTTCCAAGAAAATGCTGTGCTGTGGCAAAAAGTCTGAAAATGTGCATCAGTAGCTATTCTGGAATAGTTCGCCGGGGCAAACTTTTGAGTTCGCCACGGCAAACTCTCAAAATCTCACTACATTTCCTCTCTGGAATAGTTCGCTGTGGCAAACTCTCTCGTATCAGTAACGTCATATTCGGATCCAAAACGCAAAAATGGACCTTCTACTCATATGATCCGACCTAGATGGACCCCAAAAGCCCTTAGAAACCCTATTTTCGACCTATCACTCCATTCTATCATCTCCAACACCTCTATTCTCTCATCTTCTTGCCTCTCCACCTCCATCTTCTTCCCTTTCCATTTCCTACACTCTTTCTTCATCCCACTTCATTTCCTTCATCTCCTGACTGTTATAGCTGAAGATTTAACTCTGGTTGGAGCTGATTCTAAAGCTATGATGAGCTAGGCTTTTCCAACTCTTGAAAATGGTGGAGTAGCATGAGTTTCCAAGCTTCAAAGGGGAGTTTTAGTTTTAATCTTTAGTTTCTAGCTATGTGTTTATGATTTCCTAGGTCTAGGAGTTGTAAAGTCTTAGTTAGACACTTTGGTTTCTGTAATCATTGGTTAATCATTAACATTTGTAATTTGAATTGATTGATGTTGAATTTTGTGCTTAAATATATGTAGTTGCATATATGCTTCTTGTAACTCTCATGATTCTCTCCTATCTTGCATGGTTATGTTTTGATACTGAGTTGATTGTGTGTTACATTGAGCCAATTGCATGATCATTCCAAAATTACACATTAGGGAAGCTTAACAAGTTTTCATTAATGAGTTCATTAATTAAGCTTTGGACTCAATGAGTTATTGAGGTTGTTATTAAGAAAACCTAATGGATTTGTGAAACTCCCAATATCTTAAGTGAACTATGATTGCCATCAAAACCATTTTTAAGAGATTTCCTATCATTCATTTCCATTCCATCATTATTATCTTAAAACACCAAAAATATAGTATCTTAGGTTTGTTTTCATTGCATTTAGTTTAGGCACCATTCATTTAAATCTTAAAAACCCAAAACCCCATTTCATTACATTGCATGGCATTTAGTCTAACTTAGATAATTAATAAAGGCTCCCAAAAGTGAAATGACTTGAATTTGCACTATACTGCATAGCTTGGATTTATTTTTGATTGAGAACTCCAAGGCGAACAACAAAAGGCTCTCGTCAGAAGGCAACAAATATATACAGACACAAACAGATACACAGGCAAAGAGAAGCAAGGCAAGAGTAGTATCTCCACATTAAATTATGTGGCTCAGTTTGCTTTGATATAACTCCAAGGTAAACAGTTTCCATCATTTACCCTTGGAAAATTGTCTTTCCCACTTTAATTTTGAAATGAGTTGAACTGTTGAAGATAAGACAAATGGAAATGACTTACATGCAAGCAGCAGTAATCTTATAGATGAAGGCAACCCAAAATGATAGGTTAATAAGTTTTACCTTGACTTGGCCACCATGATTGCTCGCATATATATATCAACTACTGCTTTTTGGAGCCTTTTCACTTTCCAAGATATAGTGGCACTACTTTCATTTCCTATCGAGCATTGAGAACCTCCTAAAAATCAGAGTGCGTCGCAAGGTTGAATCATGCCTGTGAATTGAATCAATGATAGCAGCAAAGTCGACATTTTCTTCTTCTTGTCTTAACACAGACAGTTATGTTAAAAATGCCGTGCAACTGAGTGCTTTCTCATTAAAGAAATAAAATGACGCACGAAAAAAGGTTGAATGTCAATTATAAGCTTCCACTTTGCCAATGTCAGCAATTAGTTTTCTGAAAGCAGAAACGAGGAACACGGGACCATTGTTCCAAAAATAGCAAAATTCACAAACTAGTAAAATTGATAGGGATAAATTAGAAAAAAATGATAAATATGAGAAATTAAATAGGTCTTATATTTATGACCAAAATCAACTTAACAATTAAATTCTATATTAAAGACCAAAGGAGTATAATCCTAAGCAAACTGTAACTTAAACTTGACCAGTTTCCTTAACTAAAATATACATATACTTTAGTGGAATTATGCTACTCCTGTGATCATTAATATAAGACTTAAATAATTAATTTGAATAAATTAAAGATGTTAGTTAGATTAGTTAATATAATGTAGTTTTCCTAAGATATTCAAATTGTCTTTCTTAATTTCCTCCCTCCCTCTCCTACTTGATTATTATTAAGAAAATATTAATAAGATTAATTTTTAAAAAATTATAAAAAAAGTCTTATATATTGGACCGATATAAACTCTTAAATAAAGTCATACATTAAGGATCGTAGGAGTTTTTTTTCCTCCATTAAGCACTCATGATGTTATTTTCTACTTCCATTTAGCAATAAAAATTAGAATGGGATGTTGGAAGTATTAATATAATAATACCATAACAGTGGCTGAACTAAAAAGATAATATCATAATGATGAATGCTGCGTTACTAGGTTTAATTTATTTTTATAAGTTGGAATTATGAGGTTACTAGAAATTTCTCTCCTGTCCGATATACAGACTAGAATATTTGATTAAATTTTAAATTCTAATAAATTTATGATTTGTTTTTTTAAAATTCATTCAAATGAGATTTGAATTAGAGACTCAGAAATTAGGAAGAACATATGAAAATTTAAATTTATTTATTTATTTATCTATTTAAGCGCCATTGACATGCTATTTAATTGATAATGCTTCTCATTTAATTTAATATATTCAAATCTTAATCAAGATATTATTTAAATTCAAAATTAATTATTAATGTTTTCATTTGAGCCTCCAATTAAAATCACATTTGATAATGATGCTCCTTATTTAATTCAATATATCAAAATGGTATTCAAATCTTATTAATTGAATATATTCGGATGTCATAATGCTCATTTTTAAACAAACTAGGTATTACAGGTTATCAAGAATACAACTGATTGATTATTAATTTTTTCATTTGAGCCTCCAATTAAAATCTCATTCAATAACAATACTCCTCATTTAATTCAATATACCCAAATTTTAATCAAAATAGTATCCAAATTTCGTTAATTGAATATATTCGGATGTGATAATGTTATACTCACCTCTTTTTAAGACAAATCAGGTGTTATAAATTTTTAAGAATATAGTTAATTGATTGATGATTTATGAAAGACGAAAGGGTAAGGCCCACAGCGGCATGACGGTTGGTGAAGGCGATGGGATATAACACTAACAATTCTCCAAAACGAATATATATATTGGATGGATGTGAAATTTATCCACTTGGTATATTTTTTTATGCATCATCGAATATTTATCCATCTTTTCAATTGATCGTGACCATTCTCACTTTATATATATGCATATATTATTCTATCACGTAAAAATTTCATTTAATCAATTCGTCCAACTTTAATCATATCACTACTAATTAATTAATGTCTCTCCATGATAAATTTGTTTCCAACTATAGCTTTTTATTTATTTATTTATATACATAACGGTGTATTAGTAATTCAGTATGTTCGAAAAAGTTTAAATTAATTCCATTCACCTCGTATAAGTCAATCACTATATATAAATATATATATATATATATATAACCACCTTTCTCTATCTTCTCATCTTTTTATTAACACTAATAACATTTCTCTCCATACTAATATATATATAAATATATATATTTTGGCCAACTTCTTAAAATCAGAACACTACATCGGGTCTTAATTATAAGAAGATGTTTATAATCTATAAATGATGTTTTATAATTAGGACCGGAAGTAATATAATGTAAGAGCAAGAGGTGATTAATAACAATTATCATCCTCCTAAAAAATTCTATTCTTAACTTTTACAGATTATGAAGAAAAAAAAGGAACATCTCGATCTCTCCTTTTGTTTATCGTAAAAGGTGCACAAAGGATTTAACATTAAGAAACTGTTTGAGAGTTTTGAAATCAAAACCAACGATGCAGCTGGCTAGCATATATACATCAAGTTTTTATATATAAATATCTATCTATCTATCTATCTATCTGTATATCCTACCGAGAATTTAAACATGCATTGAAGATATTAGAATTCAATATGATACACCATAAAAGTGCTCTATAGATATTTATTAATTAGATACTGATGATGATGATTATATTAGTACAATTAAGCCGCAAAAAGGACAAAAAACAGGCGGATCAAAGGTAAAGAAGAAAACAACGCAGGTTTGTTCGAGGTTCCTGAGGTAATAATCAAGGCAGTGTTTGGGGAGTAGTAATGATAATAGTGAAGGTTAGAGTCAGAGAGCTCCGGCACCCCTGAGCATTCTCTTGAGGGAGCCATTGAGGTGAAGGGTCATAACAGTATTGGCGGAGCCGACGAAGCGGCCGCCGATGAACACGGCGGGGACGGCCGGGTTGCAGCCAAGCCTGATGAGGGCCCACTCCATCTCCTTGCCCCGAGAATCTTCGTCCAGCTCATAAACCGCCGGCCCAACTCCTTGCTCATAGAACAACCTCTTGATGGCGTGGCACATCCCACACGAGCTCTTGCTGAATATCACCACCGCCTTCTGCGACGCCAACTTTGCCACTCGGTCCATTGAACTCAGTGAGTTGTGTGTCTGAAGGATATGGCTATATATGATGTGTGTCTTTGGGTGTGTGATGTCATGGGGAGAATGAAGAGGAGGGATTGTGTATTTATATTTGGGGGATGACTGGAAAAAGGGAGGATATGAGAATTTTGGATTTAATAATAAATTAAATAAAGGAGAAAATTATATATATATTTATATGGGGATGGAAAAAGAAGGGTTCTTTTAGCGTTGGATGCCCTCAAAAATGAATATGTGTGTGTGTGTGATGGGCTTGAGGTTTGTGTTTTGCATTACGAATCTATTGCGTGCCACACATTACCTAATTAATTAAGAATTTAATTATGGGGCAAATTGTACAAGGAGTTGTTGTTTGTTTGTATGTGGCTAAGAATGTGTTTAAGTCAAAATCAAACCATAGTTTAAAGTTAATTTTACAATATGCAAAACAAGTATTTGAGAAGAATTTGATCTCATTTTTTTAAAAAAAAATGCTTTTTAAAAGTGTTTTTTTTCGTTCAAACACCCTTGAAATTTTACAAATTATATAAAAAAATCCCATATCGGCTTTATGTCACATATAAGTAACTTTCTTAACTTTTGAAAGCTCACATTAAACCCCCTCGAATTTTTATAATTATACAAATAATTAATTCCTGTACTATTAATTTTGTTTACTAGTTACCTGAAAATGGGTTAAAATACTAGTTTAAAGGATATAGATATATATGATGTGTGTCTTTGTGTGTGTGATGTCATGGGGAGAATGAAGAGGAGGGATTGTGCATTTATATTTATTGGGGAATGATTGGAAAAAGGGAGAATATGAGAATTTTGGATTTAATAATAAATTAAATAAAGGGGAAATTTATATATATGTGTATATATATATATGGGGATGGAAAAAGAAGGGTTCTTTTAGGGTTTGATGCTCTAAAAAATGAATATGTGTGTCTGTGTGAGATGGGCTTGAGGTGTGTGTTTTGCATTACGAATCTATTGCGTGCCACACATTGCCTAATTAATTAAGAATTTAATTAAAGGGTAAATCATACAAAGAGTTGTTGTTTGTTTGTATATAACTAAAAGAGTACTTGAGTAGAAACCAAATCATAATTTTAAAAATAATTTTACAATATATAAAATAAGTATATGAGAAAAATTTGGTTATGAAAGCGTTTTTTAAAAGTGTTTTTTGCCCCATCCAAACACCCCTCCAATTTTTACAAATTATACAAAAAATCCCATATCAACTTTATGTTACACATAAATAACTTTCTTAACTATTGAAAGTTCACATTAAACCTCCTCGAATTTTTATCATTATACAAATAATTAACTCTCGCACTATTAATTTTGTTTATTAGTTACCTGAAAATGGGTTAAAATACTGGTTTAAAGGATTTATCTGTATATAACTCAAAATTTGAGGATATTATATACAAATAAAAATAAAGTTTAAGCGGTATAAAATTAATAGTTTGTCAGTTGTTTTGTAATCTAACGACATGTAAATTTTCTTATAAGTAAAAAATTGAGAATTTGATTCCACCAATGACTTCAAGCACACCAGTGCTTGCCCTTCTAAATTTTAAAAAAACTAATACCCCTCCGATCCTAAATATAAGACCACTATACTTATGTATAAGGATCTTATATTTAAGACCGGAGGAGTAGTTTGGGTTATCTGCATAAACTTGAAAGTTTAGGAGTTTATTTTGGTTATATAAATTGGTGAAAGTTTTATAATGTAATTGAACCTTTGTATATATGATGGCGAGTGTCAATCACAATTCAAGTTTATTTAATGGGAATTTCTTTGTTTTTTCCCCCCCAAATGGATGTAAAAGCATTTTTAGCACTTGTTATCTGACTGATGGTTAAGTGATAAAGCATCGTTATAAATAAACTTATGGATATTTATTAATCATATCTTAGTAGACCTTTTTCACAATTATATTGATTTTGACTAAAATTAGATTTTGTGAAATAACATATATATGCTTTGTTAGTAATCAATTAAAAGAAATTAAAAGAAAGGGAATGAGATGCAGTTTATGTGGACGAAAATGACCCTGAAATGACAGTTATGTACATGCGTGAGCATGATGAGTACATCGTATCATAAGAGTGTGCGTAGGGAATGTCAAGTTCGGATAAGGGTACTGCCGAATAATCAACTTCTTCAATAGCCTTCCAAACACTCCAACTTGATCTTTCCCTTTTCATGATTTATATTTATCATATTTCTAACTTATTTCATTTAATTATATGAACTTCAAATGAAAAGTTTCAATCCAACATAGCTCGTCATTTGTTTTACTGACATAAATTTAAAACACACTATTACGTTTTCATGCATATTACTCTCCGCAATCCGATGTAAAAAGTCCTCATTTACCGACATAAAAAGTCCTGCTTCTAATAGTATTAGTTTGTATTTTAATATATATATATTGCTTCTGATCTTTAATATAAGAGTTAGTTTAACTTTAATTTGATTTTAAATATAAGACTCTAATCTACTTTATTTCTCATATTCATCCATTTTTTTAAAGTAATCCTTATAGTAGTTGTATATGTTAAAGACTCAATCAAATGGTAATTCTAACTAATATATATGAGTAGTAAGGGTATATATTCTAGAAAAGACAGCACCTATTTATTACAAATAACTAACTTAACTAATTTTCTTAATTTACTCAAATTAATTAACTAACTCTCATATTAAGGACCAGAGGTAGTATATAAATGTTTTTTTTTTCAGTTTATGAGATTTTTTTATTTTTTGCCAATTGATTTTCAAATACAAATATAAATTTCACATGATTTAAATATGATGTAGATAATGTAAATGAGAATAAATACCAGTTTGATTGTTGCGTTGACAGTTGGTTGGATACATGCATGGAGGAATTAAGAGGGAAAAGGGATATATAGTTGGTGGGACCAACCAACTTGAAATGTTGATCCACAGTAGATGCAACTAAACTTTGAGATAAAATTAAAGTTTCATGATTTAATATATCACAAGAGAAAAAGTGAAAGCCTGGTTAATTAATTAGTAGCATCTGATGATGCATGTGTGTGTGTGTGTGTGTGTAATGAGATAATAATAATGAATGCTCCATTTGCATGGTACACTGAAATTGGAAACTAAGAACAAGTCTCATTTTTGCTTGTCTGGTAGATTACAACTTAATTGCAAGTGGCTTCTTTTTAGGGAAGCCACTCAATAAAAGCTAGGCATAAAATTAACACTTGGTTATTCTTTAATTCTCTCTCTCACACACACAAATAGCAGCTACACGAAATTAATCCATACAAAAACAAAAGGTAAATGCTTTGCTTAGTCAAACTAACAAGTCCGTGAACCAATCACCTGATCAATCTGGTCAGAAGATTTGGATGGGTTGATTTATCCTTTAATTTAATTTGATGAGCTTGAAATCATGTGATTTTGAGTTTTTAAAAAGAAAAAATATAGTTGCCAATAAGATTTATATTTCAGTAACTTTGTTCTGTTGAATTATGTGGGATTTATACATGAATATTCTATTTACTTGTGAATTAATACCATTTTCACTTAAATATGACTCTTTTCATCGATCAAGGTTAAACATGCATATTTTGTATATTTCTACCCTGCATCGACCAATTCAATGTTGGTCCAGTTTTCAATAGCTTGCATTGCAGAGTTGTGAATCATTAATAGTTGTTTAAGGGGGAATTAAACCGAATTATTTTTTCAATTAATTAATCATCGACCACTGCTATTGGTTATAATTGAATTGTAATGGACTTATCATGATGATGACCAAATCTGTCACACGCCAAGATTTGAAAAAGAAAAACCAATTAAGACTTGACAAATGATAACGTTGGAGATGTGAAGAGATGAGAAGGTGTGTCTGTGTGAGAGAGAGATAGTGGGCCTGTTTGTGATAGCGTTAAAAAACACTTATAAGTATATTTTATGTTAATCAAGATAAAATTTCTTTTACATGCTTACCTCGTATTCTATAAATCATTATTAAAAAGCTATTTATAAGTTAACCTGAACGGCCAGTAAAGATGCGTGCGATATTTACATGCATATGTATGAGTGAGTGAGAGAGGCCAGCGACGTATGTAGAGAATTTCGACCTTTATTTATGTATTATTGTAACATAATGCAGAATAAGCATTATATCATTCACTCTACATATACTCTTATTGTTATTATTTTTCAACTTAATTTTCCAACCATATCATTATATATATTATACCCTTATGTCAAGCAAAGAATACTTGACCTCATTTATTTCATCAATAGTATTATTTTTTTTATTGATAAAAAATGACTTGTGTTTTGGCCAAAAAAAAATTATAAAGTAGTTTGCAGTATCTACGTAATTAAACAGAAATCGGCTTTGGGATTAATTTTCTACACTAGTTAGTCATCTGATCTATTTATAATAATATGCTTCGTCTATTTTTTATATACAAAAAATATATAGTATACATTTTACGAAAGTTCTTTATGTGAGACTCACACACACACACACACACACATCGATGCATGTTACTGAATTTGATTCTAATTTTGACCCAAAATCTTAACATGTTGAACTCATGAGTCTTTTTTTTTTTTGGTGAGATGATAATATACATCTTATCTTTTTTAATTCAATTTGATATGAAATTTCTTTTCCAAAAGAGCAAGGAAGGAAATAATGGATTGACCATATGGTAGCAGAGAAATATATATGTAGGAGAAGTTTATCATCTTCTGCGTTATAGCACACATACCTTTGGTTATTAACATAAAAACTATATAACTAATTTAAAGATATTAAGAAAATTAGTTAAATTTGTTATTTGTTATAAATGTGTGTTGACCTTCCTAAATTATACCACATCCAGTCCTTAATATAAGACCTTATTTGACTTTTATTTTGGTTTTAAATATAAGACCCTAATCCACAATTTGTCTATCATATTTATGCATTTTTTTTCAAAAAAGT